TAGCAAAAACTTAGACAGTACCCCCCCTCCAAAACAAAAAAGATTGGTTCTAACCCCCCTCTGTTATGTTAAAAATAACGTCGCACCCCCCCCTCCCACCACCCAGATTTAGACAAAGCATTTGCTAAGTACCGGGATGCTTACCACATTGGCTCAAAATCTAAAACTTCTGAAGCCAGAAAGAGAAAGGAGCAGAGAAAATAATCAAACAACAGGAGATGCTCCTGACGCTTCAAACAACAGACGAAAAGAGCTTGCATTATATTTAGATCCTTGAGAGGAGAGCCTGTTGAACTTTGCTATGAGCCAGATATATATGGAATTCAGCAAATCGATTCAGTCGATACAGAAACATTACTTTTATTCACATCAAAAACCGAAAAAGCTTGTCTACGAGATCTGTTTGATTCCCATTGTTTAATGGGGGAAGCTGAAAAACAAGTTCATGATTTTTGCTTTACATAGGATCAGCTCAATTAATTAGAAGAAGGGTTAAAATTGATCAGTTGTGAATTTGCTTTTCATTTTGATGAAATATTTTCAATAATCGTTAAACAGCTGTTCGTAGTGATATTTGTTACAGTCTATCATGATGCCTGTATTGAGAATCTTTTATTGCGTTTAATTTTATTTATATTTCGAATAAAACTTAAGGCCCCCCTCCTTCAAATGAGTGATTTTACTTTGAGCCCCCCCTATCTTGGCAGCAATTTTATGTCATGCCCCCCCCCTCTAGTTTTTCAGTCCCCTCCTCCTGATAATTATTGCACAGTCCCTTAGGTCTTCTAACGCATGGAACGCCGTCAAATGTTTTCAGTAGAATCCTTCGGAGTGAAGCTTTAGTTTACACTTCATATTTTTTTCATAGCAGCCGTTTTACGGCAATTATTCGATATTACGACTCTCACACAAACACTGTAATTTCTCACGCGTTTGCCTACTCGTCAAGATGGCGTCGAAAACCGTGACAAGGTCTATTTAAAACGAATACGGCATGCCACGTTTTCTTTCTTCAGTTTTCCAAAACTGACTTTCAGTTTTAAGAAAGAAGACTGACAACTATCAAAACTGTCCATTTAAGAAAGGAAATCTAAACTGTGTTTAAAAAAAAAAATTGTACAGGTTAGTTTCAATTATATCCAACCCTACTGAATTTAGCCTGCGTAGCAAGCGTTTTCGCTCGAGTTAATGCGCGAACACTGGAACCAAATAAACGCTTGCTGCACAGGCTATATTGAATTTAAACAGTTTGATCAAGGAGCTAGCTCACTGCATTTTAGGAAAAACTGGTTTCATGATATCAGTTCTAAATTTATCATTACCGTGACTACTATTATCATTACTTATCCGTTAATTTAATATTTTCACGCTAGAACAATTTTCAATTAAGTGTCGAAAGTAATCTGCGATTGCTTTAGTTTTCCCCTATTAAGCTGTGTTTCTGGTCCTGAAAACTGGCTACTGTCGTAGCCAATCAGATTCCAAACTAAAACCAATCGCGGTTGGTTACCAAAGTTTTCCCGCGCTTGAATTTATTTGTGTGTTTTACTTTGAGTTCTCATTGGCTGTTCATGATGTTTTTGATTGGCCGTTGTAATTACATTTCTTTTGGTTTTACGACACTCATTTGAAAAGCGCTCTATTAGCGTTATGTGTACTTATTACATAATGAGATACTGATTTATCCTAAAGGCTCCGCTTCGGAGGGGAAAGATGTTGTCGGCACCATCGATGTTTTGTGTGATTTTTGATTTTAGTCTTTTGTCACTAACTGCGCTAGGGATTCGTACTTTTGAAAAGCGGAAAGCCATTTTAAGCTGGCTTCTAAATTCTGTATCCGAACACAGATATCGATTGGAAAAGTGTGTATTCGCCATCTTTTCGCACGACATTATAAACCGTATTGTCTTTACAAACTGTTTCGTTTCGGCATGGCTGATTCGCCGACCTGTGCTTTCTGCCAAACAGAGGTTGAATCTTTTCCTGTTAAGTATCATCCAATTTTTGGAAACATGTTTTGCCCTGGCTGCGTGATTATAACATGTCATCTTTGTTGAAAACATTAAGATGATGTCATTTTTGGAAAGTTTGATGTTGCAGAAGATTTTCTATCGTTTAATCATATTTTGTTTTTTTGTAAGTTTTATATTTACTCTCAGGAAATGACAGAATGGTATACCAGGACAAGCCGTATTTATAATATCGAACTCCCCATTGCCAGGAAAAGAGACAAATTAAACAATCATTTTAAAAAGTGGGAAAAGTGAATTAGCGTTTTATCCCGATAAGTGATATAACGATCAATCTTCATAATTTGTCTAAATATAAATAGGTACCTGTATTGCTGTAAATAGCTTTAAGTGCGTTCAGCTATGTATTGATCTATTTTTACTATGAAGTTGAGTTTTTTTTTGTGCCTTTCGATATTCTTAGATAAAAAAAAAAATAAAAAGATAAAAATATTGGAAGGTGTGGAGTATTTATGTTATGATCGAGAGTTTGAATGGTTTAACATTAAATATAATTGCCAACGAGCAGCCTCTCGAAGAAGCGAGGCTGCGAGGCGGCAGCCTATAATAAAGCCGTGCGCGAAAGTTCCAAGGCAGAATAAATCTCCTGATCGCGGGTTAAATGAATCTCGAATCAATGTAACAAAAAGTAATGTAAGGTAACTTTTATGACGTAATGAAGAACACAGAATGCATTGCTTTCGAGCGAACACAGAACCGTAGGCTCGATTTCCGCCGTCTCCCGGGTCCGGTCTTTGATCCTCCCCGAAAAGAGACTTTCGGGGAATGAGTGTCCCGAACAGCGGCTGGTAATCGAGCCTAACAGAACCGGAGAATCCACGAAACGTGTGCTTGTTTGTGAGTTCCGTGCTAATCCCGTCTTCAACCAATCGGCGGGTGGATTCATTTGCATCATACGCGTATAGCTGTCGCATTTGCTCGCTGGAATTTTTTATTGCCTACCGTTTAAGGTTCGGAAAATCGGGAAACAAAAAACATACAACTTGTTTTGCAACATTGCTGCAAAACGAGTTGAATAGCGATGTTGCGCGTTTTACCACCCACATAAAACCTGTCTTGTAACAAATCAGGTTGTTAACAGGTTTGAACGTGGTTGGTATAACCCGCAACAGTGCTATTCAACTCGTTTTGCAGCAATGTTACTAAAGCCTGGTTTTCATATGTCTGGAAAATTCCAGACGATCGGGGAATTTTGCTGTTTCCCGACTGTCCCAGATTTTGCCGACTAATGAAAAGAGGTCTGAAAACTCGAAATCGGTGATACTCCCAATCGTCTGGGATGGACGGGGACAAATCAGGGGCACCCAACGAAGGATATAGTTCAAAACCACTTAACATTGCATTGTTGAGCGTATTTTAGTATTTAAACGGTAGATATAGGCATATTTTTATCCCCTAAAAACTTTTCATCTCTTCGGATTTCCTAGCTGAAAGTCTAGTGATCCGAAAATTATAGGCATCAAAACTTACCTTTTCGAAAATTTCAGCCAGGAAAAGGCTCCCGAAAATTCTAGGTGGCCTTTTATAGGGTAAATATCCGTTTAAAATGGGTAATTATACCATTTTGTAGATGTTCGAAAATCCTAGGAGAGGCAGGCAAGCAAGAAATTTTACAACAAATGTTCCGAAAATTCTAGTTCTCAAATCATCTTCCGAACAGATATTTTCCCGAAAATTGCCGTTGGGTGCCTCTAACAAATCTGGAGAATCAGGAGCGTTTCTATTTTCCCCGCGCGTCCCAGATTACTGCGATGGTCGGCGATCATTTCCGACAAATGAAAACTCAAATTTGTACTGTCGGGGACGTCGGCGATAAATTTCGCAATCCCCTAAATTGCTGGGCCCCAGTCCTCCTATCAC